GCACCCACGAGCAATACCGCTAGCCATGATAACCATGAGAAAATCAACTCATGGATTTCCTTTTCTTTCCCATATGAGTGTGGGGCTCCGCTATAAAACCGATAAAAATTACAATCAAATACGATAAAAATTACAGTAAGTCAGCAAATACTGCTAAGAAGTTAAAAATTCGCGTAAAATTCTCCCCAAGAAACAAAGTTTGTACAGACCCTTTGGGGCAAAAATTCTCCCCAAGACACAACGTTTGCTTGGAAACTGGTGATTCACATCATGATGGGTGGTAGAACTTACTATTCAGGACAAAATAATGGTTGTTTAAACAACGCAACTTTTTAATTAATTTAACATGAGTTTCGAATTGGCACTCATGTTTGTTTTTTCATAAGCCTTTCCACCCATTCAGTGAAAGTAAGTAGGACTGAGTCCAATTCGTGGTGGTTTTTCATTTTTTTTGTTGTAAATTTGTTAATTTCTTTGAACTAAATATCGATCTGCAGGTTTTAAGACGCTATCTGGATTAAACCTTGATACGTTTTCATCCCAAATATCCAAGGTAGGTAGAACAAAGTATTACTGAGAAAGAATGAATGGTATGAGTAGACGGCCGTTCATGGTTAAGTACGTGTTCTCACCATGTGTTTACACCACGAATACACTAACGACTGTTTTTTCCCGGGTTTTTTCACAATAATAACACTTTCAAGCTGGGATCGTTTTGTCATGAACCACAGATCAGAACTCATCATTACAACGCAGCAAATCAGCTAGCTCGAAAGTCGTCAAAACCAATTGAAACGAAATGTTCAGGTTTAGTAGAGTCCAATCACACATTTGGTTCTAGTCACCGTTTTGTTGTCTTATATGAACTCGAATCAAGCCACCAGCAAGACATTAACGACACCCCTATTACACAGCTTGACGAAACACGCGAACTGGCGAAAACGGATCAGATTCGATTCAAATTGTATTTCAATTTGAAAAAGTGAGGCGCTCTATTTGAATCAGACCAAAACAGCCGAACAGCGCGACGCAGCGTGAGAAATTCGTAGTAAAAACCTTTCACAGCGACC